CTCGCACCGATGGCAAAGCTTGCTGCCTATCCGTCTCCACCCTTTGACCAATTACGCGATGATAACAAGAAAGCCTATGAATTGGAAATGCTCACAATTGATCCTTATCACCGTCATAAAATTAACTGTCATTGATGGAAAAACACAAACTATGGTACCTACTAGAGTTGCTTAAACAAAGAAATGGGTCGGGTGTGCATAAATATGTAACAGACAAGAATTGGAGGAGAATGCACGTAAATGTTATGCATAGCCCATTAAGCTAAAGAATGATAAGTTTGTGGAAATGATGCTATTTGATGTGTGTTTTATCATTGAATTATTCAAAAAGGGTTAAATATGGACAATTTGGACATACAAATGATATTATTTTAAAGAAATTTCAGATTTGGCAGACTATAAGGTGTGATTTTTTATTATTTGAGAAACGACTTCATCTTCTAGGCCTCTTACAAGATAACTGGTGTTCCTCTCGGTGAGCAAGCCAAGGAAGGGAATGAAGTTTCATAAAATATAAAATTTCTCTTTGTTACATATAAAGTTAAAAATGCAATCATGACAATCCCTCCTTTGAAAATTGATGATATTATAGAGTGATTCTTTAGAAATATGATTGCATACGAGCAATATAATGACGGAATCAAACTAGTTTATGCGACTGACTATGTGGTTTTTATAGGTCATCTAATCAATTCTCCAAAAGATGTTGAAATACTTTGACACTATGGAGTAATTGAAATTGGTAAGGCGATGATAAAGTAATTTGTAACAAGTTCAACAAAATGACAAATCATGTCATCCTAGATTCTGCGATGTTCTGAAATTTTCAATGAAGTTAACAAGTACTGTGAACAACGTTGGCATATTCGGATGACCAAATTAAAGCGTAATTATTTCAATAGTATGTGGTCTATTATCTCAATTGGTGGTGCTATTGTGTTGTTGGTACTCATTGTGATGCAAATTATATGTTTTATCCTACAAATCGAATTCCAAGCTCAATTAAATTTACATTCGCAATCAATAATGTTACGTTCAAATAAAGTTGTACTAATTGTTAGAGTTTTTTAATAAAAGGAGCTTTTTATGTGAAAAAATCAATCTCATTTTGATTAAATTTTTAAAAGTATTTAAGTATATATATATATATATATATATATATATATATATATATATATATATATGTTAGTGCTTTCTAGCCATTGAATTAAGTGATACCTCGAGACTGCTACGTGTGCAAGGATGGAACTAGCGGAGGAGATACGAGTTTTTGAATACTCAAGGCGGAACGGCTAATTTTTCAACAGTCTTTTTTCCATTAAATTCTAAAAATTATTATTTGATTAAATATGAAAGTAATTACAGAATAACAACAGTCAAATTTTTCTGTATATATATTTAGATATTTCAAAATAGATATATACACTTCTATTTCTTCTAAATTCTTCACTACTATTTTTCTGGGCAATATAAAAAAGTATTGTGTGAAACTTCTACTTCATTCGATTGTGCATATTTGACTGAAGAAACAGTCAATTAGGTTGGATTGTTGTATCCTGGAAACGACGCGCTGCTATCTCCTGCATAGTGTTTCTTTCATAAAAGGGCTCGAATCATCTTAAAAGAACGACATAATCCGAGCATCACCCTACCGTTCACTTTATCTTTCAGGTTCATTTTTTCCGACACTAGTCATTCAATTGACATGTTGTTTTAGAAATGTAAAGTAGAATTTCTGATCAATTTGAAAGTTTTCAGGGTTAAGAACATATATTTAGAATTTTTATATGAGCTTTGGGTGGTTGCTCAATTGTGTTCTCAAATGATTTTAGTATTCATTTTTGGAAATCACCAACTAGATTTTGCATGTGATAAGTCTGTCAGCTGCTCACCTCAGATTTATTAAATCAATATTAAATGGAACCACCATTTAGTTCGAAATTGACTACCATTATGTCCGAGATTAAGTTGCTGCTAGGTCGTTTGGGGTTAATTATGCATTTTGTTTCCACAGTGCATTTCCTTTTGGGATATTTGTCTCGTGCATCAAATGTGTTATGTCTTCACCAACCAGTGGTGCCCGAGTTTAATCTAAACCCGAACCCTACTCAAACTGTTGAACTCGAGTATTGGTAATGATAATTTTTTTTGAATTCGGATTACTTCAATTGTGTTGAAACTCGTGTTACAAAATTTGGACTATAATTTGAGTTAAATTCAAGGTAAAACTTAAATTTGATTCTTAGGTTACAATTCAGACAAAATTTAGATTTAATTCAGGTTCAACTTTGATTCACTAATTTAAGTCAGGCTCGAGAATCCGAGATTCAAACCTAAGTGGTGTCTGGAATTAAATTGGTTTAAGTTTTTTGTCCCCAAGCCTAACTTATGTATTGAAAATTTTAAGTTGGGAATAGATTGAGTTCTGGGTATCCGCATCACCAACCACAAATCAAAACTAGTTCCCTTGGATCATGTAATTATCACATCATTAAGGTAGTAAATTAAGTCAATTTTTTAAGTCTTAATATCATTATTTATTATTTATTATAATTAGAAATAAATAAATCAATCAAAATATTTATCATAGTCAAAATATAAGTACGATTAAAATATTTACTATAATTAAAATAATTACACTAATTAAAATGTCTATCGTAGTAAATACAAATTATACAATTAAGCATTAAATCCTAATTATAAATAATATGAGTTGTTGTTGGATCACAATTCTAAGTGATTTAGGTCATTATTATTGTGCTTTTACGATACCAAAAAATTTAAGATAACATATCTTCAAATTTTATAAGTTTTGATATAAATTTAAGAATTTATTTACAACAAAAAGAAATGTACAGCTTTTTGGATCGAGTGAAAACTTTTAAAGTTAGAGTTATTATTTTTTTTGGCCAAGGTATTATTTTTGTGATAATTTATTATCGATCCTTAACATTTTTAGATTGGATTGCAGGTAATCAAAAAAAATGATAAATGATCTTCAAAAGATTTAAACAAAAAAACATGAAGTTTTTTTGAGGTCCATAGTCTTCTCCTTATCTGTTGCCTTGTTTTTATTATACAAATATCTTATTTCATCCTTTGAATTAAATTCCAGCCACCTCTTGGTTGTCACTATTGCCTTCGTCGTCATTGATGTGCTTTGATGTGGAAGGATTGGACACATTAAAATCCTATAACCATACATTTCTTATTCAGTTTTGAATCTGTTCATAGTCTTATACGGTTGAGAATCTTAATATGTTAATGGATAATAAATTAAGGATCGCATGAGTCGCGAAATAATTAGAGATTAATTGGACAATATTAAATCCCAACTCTAATTACCAATATCCATGTGGAGTTATTGTTGCAAAATGTTTAGTGAACAAAGGTATCAAAATTGCATGATTTTATGTGACTATATTATAAGTATTTTTTGGAATGTTGATTATCCTCGGATGCTATTTCCCAAGGAAAAGGCTAAGACTAAAGCATTGTTTTAGTACCGTATCCGAAGTTATAAGACATGGGTGTTAATTTATAATAAAATAAGATTGTTTCGAATTAGTCCAAACATTTTAAGATCTCTCGTAATTTTTTTGAACCCAATACTTAATCCTATTGAGTTGTAAGATGTATTTTTTTGTAACTTAATCTAAATAAATTAGAATTAGTCAGTGTTTATTCATGATATCTCTCTGGGCATCGTTATCAAGGCCTTCACTTTCATGAAGAAAAATCTTGGCTATTATTGTATAATCATTCCACATACGATTCCCTAATAATTGTCCTATGAAAAAATATCTTCTCCTTCACAGAAGAGATAAGGTTGACTTAGACTTGACCTGTTAAAAATTAGTGGCTCTTCTTCCTCTAATTTGTCATCCAACACTTTAGTTGCATTTCAATCTATACCCTTTCACAAAAACCTTTTTGCAGATTTGTTGGTGTGAGGCAAGCCTCCAATTAAAGCAATTATTTCAAAAGACAAAGAAGCTGCAAAGTACGAATAGCTCTTTACAATTTCCTTACAATTGTTTAAAATGGTGTCTTGATTCTATTCGTATCTTATACTCTGTTTGGTACGATAAAAAAAATAAAATGATAGAAATTTAAAAGTATAGAAAATTAGAGGGATTTATAAAATATAATGTTTAATAAGAAAGAAAAATAGAAATGATGGAAAAGTTGATTGATTAATTTTACTTTTAACTCACCAAAATCAATTCCTCCAAAATTGAGTGAAAAATTATGTGTTAAAATGTATGTTATTTGTTTATCTATCCTTTGATATATATGTCATATTTATTAATTATATATTAAGTATACATTAATTTCATATATAGATATAATTGTCAATTATGTATCTATACTTTTTACATCATTCCACTTTTTCATCCTACTATTAAATACAAAAAAAATCAATCATTCCTACCAAACACAAAGGAATGAATTAAGAATTTCTCAATTTGAAACTTTTGAACTTTTTACTTGGTATATCAAAATGTTTAGGGATAATATATTCTCCTTTCCAACTACCAACCTGCAAGCTTAAATTAGTGAGTAAAAAGCCATTGAATTTTCGCCCGAGTAGGTATGTCAATTTTTTCAATATCCCAATGGAGGGTATTATTGTAAAATGCTGAGAGAACAAACGTATTTTTGTAATTTACTGACTTAGATTAACATTTCAGTAGTTTATAATGGAGCCAATTGAAATTAGTTGGTCCAATTAATTGTGAGATAATTGGATGATTAATGACCAATTGGAGCTATAATAAAAGGGTGAGGCTAATTGATAGCAGTCCACAATACTGGTCGTTTAACACCAGGGTGAGAAAATAAAATAAAATAAATAAATAAATTAGAATTAATCATTTTTCAACACGAATTGATAAATAATACAAACTTGTAATTTTTATTTTTTTTGTGACTTTTGATAAGATATCTCTTTAGACATTGTAATCAAGCTCATGAAAAAGTATCACCATTTTCATAAAGATACATATTGGCCAGTGAGGAAAGAAACATCCTTGGGTAGTGAGGGGTATTACGGTATTTTGATTCCACATACGATTACCTACAAATTGTCCTATGAAAAAATATCTTCTCTTTCACAGAAGGAAAATGGTTGAGTAGACCTATTATAAATTAGTTGCTCTTGTTCACCTAATTTGTCATCCAACATTTCGGCTGCATTTTGAATCTTCATCTTCTCACAAAAAATCTTTACAAATCTACTGGTGTGAGGCAAGCTTTCCAATTAAATCCATTATTTGATTCAGAAGACAAAGAAGCTGCAAATCAGTAAGTTTTAGAATTATTTGAAAAATAAGTTGTACTTTGATTCCTCTAAAATATTCTTTTAATTATAGTCATTAATTTTACACTAACACAATGAAAAACATTTGTGATAGCTTGGATGAAAAGTTTTGGCACTTTATTCTCCAAGTATATGAAATTTTTTTACTTTGCCCGTAGAATCTAATGGCACATAGGGATTTTGCTTTCCCAAACTATTCCATGGGATGGGGCTTAGTCAAGATCAAGCTTGGCCTGTTTTGAAAATTTTTCTAGTAGGAGCCGTGGACAGCCCTCAACTAAAAAGTTATTTGTTTGCATCTTTCTATTATTAGTCTTTAGGGAAAATTATCTTTGGACTCTTTCAACTATGTTTTTGTCACTCAACTGATGAGTTTCTCATATTGTTTCCTCAATTACTTGATTAGTTTTGCATTGTCTCAAAACCAAGCATCCATCTTGTTTGAACGAAAAATAGCAAAATGTCTAAATGTATAACAAAACACATTTTCAATCTCTACAACTTGGATAAATGAAACCATGACCATGATAAGATATGCAATATGAAAAACGTGACAACGAAGGGAAAAAATATTATAGTCGAGGAGATTATGTGAGGTGTAGCATATAAGTGGAATTTGCACTCATGGTTATGGATATAAGTGGAATTTGCAGTCAAGGTTATGCAAGTTAAAAGCTCAGCAACTACGGGATGCTGAGGTCAGGCTATTGGTGGGTAAGTCCTCCTTTAGTGACGTATACGGAATTTAGTCCGTTAAAAAAATTTATTTAGGAGTAAGTCTGTTTTTAATTTTATTAATAAGTAGTTAAATTCATTATTTTTTTAAAATTTCAAAATGTCTTTCTAATGACTTAAAAAATAATCTTCAACATTAAATTAGTTTTCTAAACAGTTATCCTTGATTTACACTTAATGCAGATTTTTTTTTCATAAAATTTGAAATTCAAATTTAAATTTGACATCACTACCACTTCTCTCTATCTCTCTCTCTCATTTTTTTTTTTGCTGAAAAGATTGTGGTTAATTTAATATTGAATGTTACTATGCATGTTACTATTTTTTTGTTGTGCATGTTACTATTTTTTTAATGAGTATGTTACTATTAATATTGAATGTTACTATTTTCTGAATTATCAATATTTAATGTTTTTTTTTGTTGATCATGTTATTATTATTATTTTTTTTTCAAATATTAATATTCAATGTTACTATTTTTATTTTTGAATGTTCCTATTTTTTTTGTATTTAAGTAATACTATTTTTTGTGTTTGAATGTTACTATTTTTTATTTTTAATGTTACTATATATATATATATGAGGGAGAGAGAAATAAATAATTTTATTCTATATATAGATATAGATAGATATGAAATTTTTTTTTAATATTAGTCAAACTTCTAAAATTCAAGAATTATTAGTTTTCAAATTTGTTGTAATTAAATATAACTAATGAGGGTATTTTAGACAATATAGATTAAAATGAACTTAATATTAAACAAATTTTTTTGATGGACTTATCACCAAAAAAGTCTACAAAAGGACACTGGCCTCTGAATTTTCCTTTTTTTATTTGGGATTAGGGATTTGTTGGAGAAAAAATTACTCCAGGTCACTGTTTGGTTCATGATATCTCTGTGGGCATCGTTATCAAGGCCTTCACTTTCATGAAGAAAAATCTTGGCAAGTGGGGAAAGAAACATACTTCGGTAGAGAGGGCTATTATTGTATAATCATTCCACATACGATTCCCTAATAATTGTCCTATGAAAAAATAATCTTCTCCTTCACAGTAGAGATAAAGTTGACTTTGATTTGACCTGTTAAAAATTAGTGGCTCTTCTTCACCTAATTTGTCATCTAACATTTCAGGTGCATTTCAATCTACGGCCCTTCAGAAAAACCTCTACAGATTTGTTGGTGTGAGGCCAGCTTCCAATTATTTCAGAAAACAAGAAGCTGCAAATCAGTGAGTTGTAGAATTGTATAATTATTTGCCTTGATTATTTGTAAAATAAATTCTATTACGCTTCCTTCAAAGTACTCTTCTAAATATGATCATTACTTTACACTAACCAAATAACGATCATTCACGATAGATTGAACAAAATATTTTGCCGCTCCATCTGCAAAAGTATGAGTTTTTTCAGGTTGCTCCCAAAATCTAATGACACATTGACATTTTCTGTCAAAAACATACTTGATAATGAAGGGTGCATTGGCTACAAAGCCGGCTCATGGTGGCCCGAAGCCCGTAGGCTACAAACGGCCCACGGGCTAGCCCGGCCATTGAAAGCCATGTGCATTTGATTACGTGAATTGTAGGAAATGAATCTAATCTACCTTATAAATTAATGGCTGCTCACTACTTTCTTTGTCATCAACATTTTTTCAGTCCAAGCAAATCGCTTATTTCAGAAGGAAAGCCGACGAACAAAAGAAGGAAGTTGAAAATCAGTAAGTTGTGTAATTTTATAAGCATTTGTTTTGATTATCCAAGTATTGTAATATAAATGTGCATGTTTACTTCCATATACTCAGTGTAGTTTCCTAGTTTAACACGTTTTGATATAGTTCACCCCTCGTTACATGGAGTAAATATTCATTGCAACGGTAATATTACTTCGTCATTAGTGACACGTGGTATCACCAACTAATAAGAATACATCATATAAATATAAGTGAACTCAACTATTCAAACGTGTTAGTTAGTCAACGTGGTAGTTATTAACAATTACTAAACAATGGAATACACCACATACACATGATATATTATCATTGGTTGGTGATACCGTGTATCACTAATGACGTGATATAACTGTTGCAAGGAATATTTTCTCCGTAGTGAGAAATTTTGAAGAGCTAATGACACTTTTTCCTTTTAAATGTTCTAAAATTTAATTTGCACCCTTAATGTTAAATAATCACGTATTGACCCTTTATTTTTCAAACTTGTATGTAGCAACGTGCCCCAATTAGTAATTGAATGACATTTCCTTTTCCTCCATAAAGATATAAAAATATGATCTGTTTACTCCTGAAAGATTTTAAAATTGGACCTGTGTGGAAAAGCAATGAGGTTTTACACTTGAACTTAAACTATCAAAAGAGATCTATTGAAATGGTTTTAAAAAGTTCAAGGGTCAAATTGAAATAACTAAAAGTTTAAAACAATCCAAAATTTAGAACAGACATTAATCATTAAGATATTCAAAATAAATCACAAAGTTAAAGGTACAATGTGAAAAACATATTAGTTAAAGAGACAATCTGAAAAAAGTCATGGTTAAGAGAGAGACCAACCTCGTGTGTTTGGACTTCTAGGCCTATCATGTCCCATCTTGTGTATTTACTAAATGTTCATTTGACAAAAGTGGCATAGGCTTTCCACCTTGTTTTTTTCAAAAGATGTCTAATTATTTTCAGTGTGGTTTCATATTGGTTTGAGATTTTTTTATGCGGCATGTGAAGTAAAATATCTTTTGAAATATTCTTAGATACTTGTTTGTCATTCTACATAAATTGTGAAGGAAAATCAGATGTCTCAGTTGTCTATTTGCATCGCCGAAAAGCTTGCTACTTTACCATCTACACCCTATAAACCTTACCTGTTCAGAATAAACGATGCACTACGTAGAGAGAATAGTGAAGCATACGAACCAGAAATAGTAGCAATTGGTCCTTTTCACCGCGGCAAAGTTAAGCTACAAATGATGGAAGAACACAAACTATTGTACCTGCAAGAGTTGCTTAAACGGAGAAATGGGTTGAGTGTGGATATGTATGTCATAGCCATGCAAGAATTGGAACAAAAAGCTAGAAAGTGTTATGCTGAACCCATTAAAATGAACAAGGATGAGTTTGTGGAAATGATGCTACTTGATGGGTCCTTTATAATCGAGTTATTTCGCAAGTTCTCTTGTGAAGAACAGGAACAGATAGATGACCCTATTTTTCAAGCAAGTGTCATTTGGTTGAATATACGCCGTGATCTTTTGTTATTTGAGAATCAACTTCCATTCTTTGTCCTCTCCAAGTTATTTGACATGAGCAAAGATTCAAACCAAGGAGGCCCACAAGAGAATATTTTAGTCTTAGCTCTCAAATTTTTACTTCAAGCCATTCCAGATATCTCGTATTTCAAAACGCCTGAAACTCCAGAGATCAATGACAATCATCTTCTGAGCCTTGTACATGGTATCTGGTGTTCTAGATTTGCTACAATGGTGCCTTCTCGGATTGATGCAAACCAAGAAAGGGGATGGAGTTTTATAAAATGTACAACAGGGCTTCGAGAATCTGGGATTAAATTCGTGAAGGCTACAGATAGTTTCTCGTTGTTTGATATAAAGTTCACAAATGGAATCGTGAAAATTCCCAGACTGAAAATTGTTGATCGTACTGAGTGCCTCTTCAGAAATATGGTTGCATACGAGCAATACAAAGGAAAAACTAAGCCAGCTTATGTGACTGACTACGTGATTTTTATAGATCGCCTCATCAACTCCCCAATGGATGTCAAAATACTTGATGAGTGTGGAGTTATTGATAACTGGTTAGGGAATGATAAAGCAGTTTCTTTCATGGTTAACAAAATGTCCAATCAAGTCGGTCTAAATCCTAATATGTTTAGTTATGCGGAAGTTTTCAATGACATTAACGAGCATTGTGGACGTACTTGCCATACATGGATGGCCAATTTAAACCACAATTATTTCAACAACCCATGGTCTAGCATTTCGGTCATTGGTGCTTTTGTGTTGCTGGTACTCACCGGGATACAAACTATATGCTCTATCTTACAAATCTAGTGTTATGTCCAATTTGATTTACACGCCCACCCCTCTGTTTGTAATAGAATGTATAAAGTTGTAATTATAATTCAGTCAGCTTGTTGTTTTACAAATGTTGAGTAGAATTCATGATCAATTTGAATGTTTTTTCTAAGCCATTGTATGGAGCAAACTTCCTGGTTGGTTTCTATTGAGTGGTAGACTAAGAAGATAAAGGGAAAAATTACACCTTGATCCTCTCAACTATGACCCTGGTCTCATTTTTTCCCTAAATAATTGAGTTTCTAATATTGTTTTCTCAACTACATGACTTGGTTTTTCATTATCCCAAAATCAAATGATCGTCAAGTTTTGAAAAAAAAAAATGCTCACGTGTGTAGTACAATATACATTTTCAATGTCTAAAATACAGTTGGAGGTGTAATGTGCATATTGTGACAATTGAAAGGGCAAAGTGAGACCAATAATCTTAGTTGACGTGCAATGTAAGAAAAAGTGAAAGTTTAAAGCACAATGTAAAATAAGGGACATAGTAATGAGAGTATAATATGTGTTTATAGAAGGAGAAAGGCTACTATACCTACGGCGATAATGTACCAAAAATTACAACATTTTAAGGTTAAATTATAATTTTTTTGAGGTGAAAGATACAATTTTAAAAGGTATAATCAAATTATAGAAAGTTAGAATTGATACCGAGTTTATGATTGATCATGAGAGTCATTGATCGATTATTGTCTTCCCTCGAAAAGTTGTAACTTCTCCTTTCAAAATTTTAACTTTACAACAAAAAGTGATAGATGACAGTAGAATACTGATTTTTTTTTTAGTACAGTAGACTTTCCCTTGAAGGTGAATATAAGAAAAAAATAGGTGTTTTTTACTACATTGCATGAGACGATTCAGTGGGCCCAAAATAATGTAGTGTCTAACAAACATGAATCTTGATGCTTTAGATTTATGTTAGATTTGATCATGTTTAATAGTACCATTTTTAATATACTAGTTATTGTACACGTGCATATAGTTAAGAAATGTAGAAAGTATGATCAATATGATTAGGATATCTTAATCCATTACGGTTAATATCAAAGAAGCATTTCTAGGGATTGACTTAAAGGTATTACAATGAATAGGGACTTTACAAAAGCTCTTAAGAGGAAATGTAGTGGGATGCATGACTAAAAAAATAAAAAAAAATGCACCCAGTTAGCTTTTGTACAATTTCACTCCATGACACAAACAATCAAGCCCCCAAAAAAATCTATGCCTAATTTGTGAGAAAATTTGAATCTTAATAAATTAAACTACAACAGGATGTGAAGTTCCCTAGCAAAAAAGTAGAATGGTCAACAATCAATTTGAGGACCACCACGAATATCAGATAAGCAAGAATGTTCTTATATCGCCAATTTATACTTGTACAACAACCATGGAATTGAAATGGTCAAGGTTGGACAACAAAATTAATAAATAAAAAACAATGCATGTTTCATGCTTTATTTGGAACACCATTATAGCCTCAAATCCCAAAAATCACGTTCTGTACCTATGAGAGCATAAAATGCACCAAGAAACTTTTGTTAAGTGGATCCATCTTTGCAGCAATTTTGGATGACTAAAATTGAGAGGAATAAATATGTGCAGAACAATGACTTGGGGCTGCTTTGATCTTATTGACAGCAAGCAACAATTTAATCATGCTTATAGCAATGAATGGAAGATGAATTTTTACCAAGATGAGTTACCAATTCAGATAAATTAGGAAGTGTAGGTATAAGGAAAATGGTTTTGTCACGAAAACTATATTCCGCACACCCTAACACAACCATATTAATCAAATAGAAAGAAATTTTGTTAAATCTGTACCTATTCAAACGGTTCTACCAATTTCGTAATGCACGAACACAAGATTGCCTTGAGAGAGACCTGCTAGATTTTTCACCTTGTATGTTCTGTGAAAGAAGATACAAGAACAATATGAAAAACGTAGCAGAGACAACACATAAGAACAACGTGTCAATCTTCTTGTGAGGAGCATATCGACAGATCTAGTGAATCACCTCTCCTTATTTTACATCTTAGAAGGCTTATGATTAGCAACTGGGGGCTCAACCTAGTCTAAATCGACAATACAACATTATAAAAAATTGTTGCTATATGAACCCAATGAATCAATTGAACTCAATTTATCAGAGAAATCACTTCAAAATGAACTCAATTCACCTCCAAAATTTAGATCCACTTCACCAAATTAGCCCCCGTGTGGAAAAAAAACTTTCACTTTCCCCATATCAACTCAACTAATAAAATATATTCAATTCGGTATTTATTAACACTATAAATATATGTATACATACATATGTGTGTGAATAATTAAGTAATAACAGTCCAACCATCCACATAACAGTCACAATTATAAATTACATTAATATTGATTTTATAACTCTAAAAGGGTAATATTGACATTAGTTATTTGATTAAGATTATTATAGTCAATCAAAAGTTTTCCACTTTTGTTAATATTTTATAGTAGTATAAATATAGATATAGATATAGATATAGATAGACCATAATCATGGGTTTTTGTGGGTCCCATTGAAACTAGTAGGACCAACCGAACCATCGTAGAATGATTAAACTTGATAGATATTGACAAAAATTAACGGGTAACACAGAAGGAGATCAACTATGATTTAGTAATATCTTATATGGTTTGGTACCCACTTACTTATATATCAGATTCCAACTGGATGGCATCATATCATGGAGAAAATTAAAAACAATTGACAACCCATCAATTCACCCACTCGTTTCTAAATTAGCAGATTGAGTAACTCATTTATACTTAAATATTTGAAGGTATTATCAATCAAAGTAATTAAGATCGAGCATAAAAAAAAAAAAGAAAGAAAGAAAAACCAAAGTAATTAATCATCGATTGGCTATACCCAGTGGCGGAGCCATAATATTAGAAAGTTGTGGCCATATTAAAATTAATACATTGCCCTCTTTAATTTTTTACCAATTGGCTGGCAAGGCTCTGTTGAGTTGTACTGAGTAAATGTTAGATGCTTTGGTTAATATACTGACCAAAAGCAATATTTCTGTTCTATTCAATACATTGCCCCTGCTTTTTAAAAACAATTATAGAGTTGGATTTGCCTCTTTTTTTTTGAAAAGTTAGAGGCCCATAACGAAATAAAACACTCTTAGATGCAAATGGCAAAGTGTTTCCAACCCACAAGCATTTTTCGCTCTTCTAAGTAATCAATTTCTCAACACGCTGGATGATGATTTCGACTAAGCTTCACAATAAAATGAATAATTATTTTGTTACAGACTCCTTAATTGTATGTCTTTGAATTAATATTTTTGAGAAATTTATTTTAAAACTAATAAGTACAAGCAATTTTTGGGAAGTGAAAGAATGTCATGTTCCACGAAAACATGGAAAAAGTTTGATGCATTGAAAAATTCTTCACATTTTCTAAGAACTTTTCAAAATGTTAAGAGCCTCACATTCATCGTAGACCTATTTGGAAGAAGAGGAGCTGTTAAGAATAGAAAGGGACAAAGGGTAGATGAAGTCAATAAGTCTGAAGATGCTAAAAACCAAGATGAATTTGACGAAGTCTCCATTTGCTATTCTTTTTTTGAGAAATTTTTGTTAATTCCACAAGCCTTGAAGGTCTCGCTTATGTTCGGAACACTTGGCTCGTTATCCAGAATGGATGGAATATGTCCGATACCCCCTAAGTGTAATTGTGAGTATAACAAGCAGAAACTCACAATTCAGATGCCATTGAAAAATTCTTCACATTTTCAATTATTTTCTGTTTTTTACCATCTTATTGTTCTTTTCTTTTCTTTTCTTTTTTTCTCAAGTTAATGTTGACTTTTCGTTTTAGGATTAATCAAGGTATACTTTATGGGTAACAGTTGTAAATGGTGCACCATGTACAGCGATAGAAAGAATACAACCTTGATACTGTAAGGTTGCAAAAAAGAAAACGATATAAAATGGTGAGAAAAAATTGTTTGCTGCATGATATTTATTTTTTTATTCTCATTAACTGAGAGAGAGAGAGAGAGAGAGAAGATAAGCACAACATTGCAACGTACGTGCAGTTATATTGGCTTTTATCTGTTGGGAATAAAAAGACTAACATATACCGACACAAAACATAAAGACTATGGCGATCCAAGTCCAAGAGCTAAGGGTGAAGCCAGGAATGAGGATGAAAAGGGAAAAAAATGAGTGCAAGAATGACAAAATGTTCTAAGATTTCAGACAGTAACATAATCATGTATTATAATGAAACACAATATTTTTAAAATTCTCTAAGATTTGTTATAATTGATTAATTCTCTAAGAATGACAATATTTTTAAAATACAATATTTCTCACTAATTTTCTACAATATTATTCTTTATATAGTTGCAAAATGTAGTTGAAATCATTCTCGATCTTATCGAGAAATTACATATTTGACATAGCATAAAATAATTTTGGGTTATAACATGTTGCTTTTGCATCTAATCATGTTTTTTTAAGCATAGACTACAATTAACAAATGATAGTTATACAATTATTTTTAAAAGATAGGAAGTATTGTATTAAATAGAATAGAAATATTATATTTTTTTCAATATATATAAATAGATCACGACGTTTACATCTAATTTGTTCAATCCAAAAGTAAAATTTATTTTAGGGGGCTAATGAACCACTAACTTACTGCAAAAAAAGAGAGACTAGTACCACTATATAAATTTTCAAAATTTAATAGGGGCAAATATAGTATATTGAAAATATTATAGGTTCCTCATCAAAAGTAATCCAAAAGTGGGGGGGGGGGGCAAGTGCCCACCCTGGCCCCAATGTGGCTCCGCCCCCGTTCCTGAGGCTTGGTACAAGAATGCATGTAGTTAGGTTAAAGTACTTAGTGTATGTAGTCTATCACACATGATTGGGTGAAATGTGTGTAATGCTTCTTAAGTGTTAATTTTTTTTTTATCATACAACGCATTGTAAAGCTGATCAAGTCTTGTCTAAAGCGAAAACAGGATTAAAGAACACTATACATATATCAATGCCAACTCTGCAAGTAAACATCTTCACCTTCACAAAAGCTGAGAAATGTGAGAGAATTTTGTGTTGAACAAGCATGGCATCCATAATATGCAAAGGGAATTAAGTGTTAAACAAGCATAGCATACATACATAATCTGCAAGCCATACCTAAGAG